GTGAGTCTCTTTTCCATTTTCTGCTCTTTTCTGGAGAGTCTCTGAACTTCACCTTCGAGCTCACTGATTCTGTTCTCAGCCGCTCTTACTCTGCTGCTGAGGCCTTCCACTGAGCTTTTCAATTCGCCTACGAGATTTTTCAGGTCTGACATTTCTGATTGCATTTTCCTCATTTCTGCCTTCAGATCCTCTTGTCTTCTATTGGCATTGGTTTCCATTGTTTCTTTTAATTCCCTAAGCATCCTAAGTAGCTCCCTTCTGAATTCCTTGTCAGAGAGGTTATCTAACACTACAGTACTGTTGGTGTCATCTGGGCTAGACTCTTCAATATGAATGTTTGGTGGGCTTTTGCGTTGCTTTACCATTGTGAGAGGTGTGGTTTAGTCCTTCACGTTCAGTGTTACTATTCTGCTTGATATGCAGTGTGAGTTAAGATAGGCTTATGAGTTATTGGCAACTGTGTTTCTAGTGGCTGAGCTAAAATAGTGAAGTTTCCATCTAAGAAGTTAGCTTATGGTTCCTATGGCATATGTAGTGAGAAAACATTTTGCGGCCGCGTTAGCGGCCGCGGCTCCGGAAAGAGTCCCTGGCACTGGGCGAGGAGTTGGGAATGTCTCCTGTTTGGAATTGGAGCCGTTCAGCTTTGTTGCCCAGAGCTGGGCCTCTGTGCCCGTCCCACGCGGATCAGGGGTTGAAAACCGGCTGTCTAGGGGCTGTTTCTAGCTGCGCGTGCCCAGAGAGGAACCCAGGCCCTTGGGGGCGGGCTGTACCTGTTGGAATTGGAGCCGTTCAGCTTTGTTGCCCAGAGCTGGGCCTCTGTGCCCGTCCCACACGGATCAGGGGTTGAAAACCGGCTGTCTAGGGGCTGTTTCTAGCTGCGCGTGCCCAGAGAGGAACCCAGGCCCTTGGGGGCGGGCTGTACCTGTTGGAATTGGAGCCGTTCAGCTTTGTTGCCCAGAGCTGGGCCTCTGTGCCCGTCCCACGCGGATCAGGGGTTGAAAACCGGCTGTCTAGGGAACTCAGGTACCCTCTTTGACTCTTTTACATAGTAACATCTTTGTATCATCATTTCCACCTTTCTGAACCAGGAACCTTAGTTTAGAACTCGCTGTTCTGGATATTTTAAAATCACGTCAAAGACACTGCAGCGAGTTCCCTCCCTTTCTCCTTGGCTTTGCCCACAAGTAGGTTCTCAGTCAATATTTGAATGTTTTGGCTGGGGGGTGGGGGTGGTCCTCACCCAGCAATACTCAGGGGTTACTTCTGGCAGTACTCGATGGACCTTATGGAATACCAAAGGGTCTGTAACATGTAAGGCAATTAACTGCTTCACCTGCTGTACTAGCCCTCCAGCCCCATCACGTGTTTTTGATTTTTGCGGAGGGTGGGGTGGGGGGTAGGGGAGGGCCTGTGTTGTGGGGTTTTTTTCCCTAAATTTTTATTAGTGAAACACCATGAGGTACAGTTGTAGACTTACAAATGTTTGTGCTTGGGTTTCAGTTATACAATGATCGAATACCCATCCCTCCACCAGTGCCCATTCTCCACCACCACCGGTCCCAGTGTCCCTCCCACCCCCCTTCCCCCATCCCACTCTACCACTGTGGCAGGGCATTCCCTTTTGTTATCTCTCTCCTTTTGAGTGCTGTGGTTTGCGAAAGAGATATTGAGTGGCAGTCTTGTTCAGACTATTGTCTACTCTCATCACGCATTTCCCATCCTGAGAGGAACCTCCCAACACTCGTTATTTGGTGCTCCCTTCTCTGTCTGAGCTGCCTTTTCCCCTAGCGTGTGCAGTTGTCCTCAAAGCCATGGAGTAATCCGCCTGGTACTTATCTTTGTTTTTTTAAACTAAAACTTACCCCTAAATTTATCTTTAGGTTTTGTGACTTGGTAGTTAATTAGGTTGTAATAATTTACTGATGCACTGTTATGTATTCACCTTGATTTAAGACCTGGAATGTGGAGGGTCCTGTTAAGCTCCTGAGCTCTAGTCACTCTCTGCAAAGCTCTGGGAACCATAAGGGGCCAGGGATGGAATTGGCTGCAGAAAGCAAGACCCTTCATAAGGCCTTACTCCCTTTTCTATCTGGCCCCTCTAGGCCTGTTTTGAATACACTGATATAGTTTGACATTTTGCATGTCTTATTTAGAAGAATTTACTTGTAAGTAATTGTCTAGACTTTTAACTGTCTAAACACTTAACCCCTTTAAACCCAGGTTAACCAAGGAGCTGGAGCGATAGCACACCAGGTAGGGCATTTGCCTTGCATGCTACCAACTCGGTTCAATTCCCAGCATCTTATATGGTCCCCCAAGCACCACCAAGAGTAATTTCTGAGTGCAGAGCCAAGAGTAACCCCTGTGCATTGCCAGGTATGGCCCAAAAAGCAAAAAAAAAAAACAGTTTAACTGTTAAGTGCTAACAAATTTCACACAAAATCTGTAATATCCTTCAGAAGACACAAAATAAGTATAACCACACAATTGTTGTAATTTTCTTTTCTTTTTTTTTTTAAAGATTTCAAATTCAACCACAATGGTTTTTTTTTTGTAGGAGTACTGCTATTTATTCAGCCACTGATTAGCTGATTGAATTGGGCATGAACTCCACCTTAATTTTTTTATTTATTTTTTTCTTTATATTTATTTATTGAATCACTATGGGAAAAGTTAATAAGCTTTCAGGTTTAAGTCTCAGTCATACAATGATCAAACACCTTTCCCTTCACCAGTACTCATTTTTCACCACCAAGAACCCCAGTATACCCCCCCTCCCAACCCTCCAAATGCCTGTGAGGCAGATGATTTCTACTTAACTCTTCTCTACATTGATTACATTCATTATTTCGACAAAAGATGCACCATTATTGTTTAAAATTTCCACCCAATCAGAATTGCTGAAAAGGCATTGTGAAATACTTTGTTTTCTATAGCTGGTTATGAGAATCATATAATGTCACGTGGCCACGATTTTGGATTTCTTTAAGGAGCCAGATAATTATGAGATTGGTTTCTGTGTGTCCAGTTTTATGGCCATGCCAGAGAACCGCTTGTGGGAGGTAACTCATGAGCTCGGTAGGGCGTGAAGGACGTGCCGGTACTGTCCCCCTTCCCATGAGACTCCAGTTGCCCCATCACTGCCGGCTCATACCTGGCTTTCCAATACACTCTGAGGTAGCGGCCACCTTGCTGCCGGGGGGAGGGGGGGGAAGGTGGAAGGGAGCAACACCCTTTCCCTCCTGGGGGGAGCATGGAGCCTGTAATTTAACGCATGGTCCATTCACTTTTCTGCCGCAAGCTTCCAGGCTCTGGATTAAGTCCTTTTGCCTCTGGAGCCATGGCTGTGCCAGAGAGCCGCTTGTGGGGGGCAACTCGTAACCTCGGTAGGACGTGAAGGACCAGTGTCGTAATTTTTTTAACCATCTTCTTTCTATTTCATTTAGAGAGAATTTTCCACCTCCATGTTTGAGACATGCATGCAGGGATTCAGAGTTTTCCTCTGTTGACAGATTATTCATTAAATCTCTAGATGAATTTACATGTAGAGATTAGATTATATAAATAATACTAGTAGGTGTTATTATACGACTTAAAATCTGTAAATTAGTTAACCTTTTGCTTTTTCCATGGGTCATTATAGATCAGTCGTCTTGTGTTTTCCTTTGAAGATCTAGTAACAGTACTTCTTCACTCAAAGTTGCCAGGAGGCTCTTAAAGACTTTGACTTATGGAAAATGACATAAAAAGAAAGCAGATCTTCAAAAACATCCTTTGTTCAGCATGACACATGGAGATTGCTTTTTTCTATCAAAATTATAAACAATGTTTGTAGGATAACTTTGGCTTGTCCTTTCTCCATTGCCACAAGGAGCACCCATCACAGTGCTCCTAAGTCACTCCCTTTCCTCTGTTTATCTGTAAACTCTTCTCTGTGCTCTCCTGGGTCCGACAAGGGACCCAGTGCAAGTTGTGAGATAAGTTGAGGGCATGATTATGGACAAATGCTGTCATGATCCAAAAGTAAGTAACGACGAGACTAGGACCCTGCTGGGGCTAGGAAGACTAACCTGGCCTGAGGACTGCAGAATATGTGGTGAGATGTCCTCAGGAAGAACCAAACTGTAAGTTTATATCTCTTACTGTGTTCATACAGAATGACATTGCTAGAAATATTGAAAGTACTAGCTGAGGAAAGAACACACCCTTGTTGGGATCCCACCTTTGAGCAGATCTCCTAGTAATCTGGAATAATCTCTTTAGATGAAATTTTATCCATGAGTTAATCTCCTCGAGGAGTGGTCTTCCCTCCCTTTGCTGATTTGTTAATGTTCAACCCACCTTTGTGTCACCACCCCATATGATTGCTATATAAACTAAGACTGTAAGCTCGGAGGGGGTTAGAAGGTGCAGGCAGGCGGGAGAAAGCTCAGGCTGAGGAGAAGGCTGGGCCCCAGAAGACAGAGTCAGAGGTGAGAGGGGCTTAGGCTTGAGAGAGAGAAGCAAAGGGGTGGGTGAAGATTGGAAAAAACAACAATTAATACGACCGGCCAGCGTGGCCCTCGTTCGTTCCCTTGCCTGCCCATCGTCATCGACCTCCCTGGGGTAGGGGAAATGGCTCAAGCTATCGAACACTGAACATGGGCGGCGGGAGAGATAGAGTACCGCTGGCCTTCCGAAAACACACCAATGTTCAGCATGTCATTAGAATATCATTTGCAGTGGTTGCTCAAATCAGACTTTCAAAATTATTGTGGCATACATGTTGGTTTAAAATTGTCCAACAAGGGACTGGAGTGATAGTACAGTGGGTAGGGCATTTGCTTTGCACACAGCCGGACCCGGGTTCATTTCCCAGCATCCCATATGGTTCCCCAAGCACTCCTAGCTCTGCACTCAGGAGTAATTCCTAAGTGCAGAGCCAGGAGTAACCCCTGAGCATCGCCAGGTGTGACCAAAAAATAAATAAAGTTGACTAACACGGTTGTTACTCTTGCAGGATGGCGTCCAATTTAAATCAAGATGAATTGCCTTGACTATCTGATGTTATTAGTGCTGACCCAGAGGTAAGACCTTCAGAAATAAATTTTGATGCCATTAAGCTTGATCTCTCACATAAATTTTCCTTAGTTGCTTCGAACAATGAGGTGAGTACAAGAAAAGCACTGTTTTGAGTATCTTAGTTGAGTGGAAATGTGTGTCTGCATGGAAATATGGTAGATCTAGAATAGAGCTTTTCTGGCTGGATTTTGGGTCGGAGAGGTAGCTCAGCAGACTGAATGCATCATTTGCATGCAGGAAAATTGGGTTAAACTCTGGTCTGACATGGTCACAAAGCACCACCAGAGTACAAACCAGAATGTAGCCCCTGAGCACCACCGTTCCCCAAAAAATAACAGTAAAAAATCTGTAGATTTGAGGCAACCTTCCATTTTAGTAACTTTTTCATGGTTTACTCCCAATTGAGATACCACGATTTACAGTACTGTTGATGTGTTCATTGTTAATAGTAACTATAAATTTTTTTATTTTTAAATTTTATCTTCATAAAGCTATTCACAATAATTGATTACATTCAACAGATACATCAGGTGGTGTATCTTTAGACATCTGGGGAGGAAAAGGTGTTCCAATTAATAGATCTAGTCACTTTTTATAGATCCTGTTATGAGTGTCTCTTACTACCCACTTCTACTCCTCCCCCACCCATTCATTTTCCAAATTAGGAATATGGGATTGTGGTGCCAGAGATTGAAAAAGGGTTAGTCACATGCAGGCAAGTGCCTTATCCCTCTATAATGTCTTTACAGCCCACTTTAAAGAAAGATGACCTATGAAAAGCCCTATTTTGTATCTTTAAAATAAAGTTATCTTGCTCCCCTTTTTTTTAAGACAAGCAGTTTGGAACCCACAGATTATCTCCAAGTTTATCTTCTAGTGAGACCATTCACACAATCAGAAAAAGAACAAGAGACTCAGGTTTGTGTTGAGTTTGCTTGGGGTTTATTCTTTTACTTTTTGTATTGAATGGACAAAATACCATTATTTTCATTTATTTGTTATGTTTCATGTTACGTGTTGTGTTCTATTTATGGTTGTGTTTATAGTTTAGACTCCAGACTATTATGCTGAAAGATCCTCAAAGCATCCCTGGTAGGTTAAGTGAGAAAAGTTCTACGCAGATGGCACAGAAATTCAGTTTCTCTAAGGTAGGTACACTGGAAAATGTGAACTTGAAAAGTCTTCTTTTAGGAGAGGGAAACTTTGGCAGATTTATTACAAAATTGTGTATATAGACTCTGTGTGTGTGTATTTTGTGCTTGTGGAACTTAGATCTTAAGCACCAGTACTTTTTTTCCTCAAGTCTAGGACTCAAATGCAAAATTTAATACATGTATAATGGTAGTGAACAAATCAGTGTGTGGTCCTTAAACAATTTTATCAAGTATATTTGTAAGAGTTAGGAATACGGTACTATATTAAGAATGAATCTTCTAAAACAAATTATTTTAATTTTTAAAGTATGAGTGACGGATGGGGAGGAATCCATTGTTAATAGTAACTGTTAAATTTTTCTTTATTTTTTAAATTTTTAAATTTTTTATCTTCATAAAGCTATTCACAATAATTGATTACATTCAGTATTTCAACTCCAATCTCACCCCCATTATTTGAGTTTTCCCACTACTACCCAAGCCTGCCGCACAGGCAGATGCTAAATTTAATTTATTTTGTATTGCTTGTTGTGAATAGTATGAGATGTTGCATGGCCACGAAAGTGGCCTCGTGCTCCTAGAATTCTAAAATTTTAAATATTTGGGATTCAGTGGCATCTCTGTGGTGCCTTCCAGGAAACCAGAAGGGCAGGGATATGGGGGGGGGGGGGGGTTGCCCATTCCTGACTTCATGAAGCCTGGGGTTTCAGTCACAGTTCCTGCATTCCTGGGTATTAGCAGATTCATTCTCATGCAAAGGGAGCTCCCTAGGGAAGAACCTGTGAAGGTAGGCTGTGAGCCTGGTGGGGATTGGGTTCTGGAGGTTTGAGGCTGCTCGGGTTCATCTGGGGCAGGCACATGGACACACCTGCCCCCCTCCTATGTGCCCGGTGGAATCAGCCTGGTGAGTGGTGGGGAGATATCTATCTCTGCAGCATGCTGCTCTTTTCTAAGATTAATTTGTGAGTCCTGAAATTTTCTTTAAAGGTCTTCTTTTTAAAAATGTTTTTAGGAGAGGGTTTTTGGCCCAGAAACTACACAGAAGGAATTCTTCCGAGATTGTACTCTGCAGCAAATAAAAGACCTCTTGAAAGGAGAAAGTCGGCTGATTTTTACTTATGGGCTAACAAATTCTGGAAAAACATATACTTTTCAGGGTAATTGTTTTATTTATTCAGGAAAGAATAAAGAAGAACCAATACAGATTTTTATATACTTGTTTATAATTATATTTTCACTACCTAGTATATTCCATTTTTAAGTATACTGAATATGTATTGCTAGTGACTTTTAATTCAGTTTGGGTTTTTGGGGTTTTTTTGGGGGGGGTTCACACCCAGCAATGCTCAGGGGTTACTCCTGGATTTGCACTCAGGAATCACTCCTGGTGGTGCTCGGGGACCATATGGGATGCTGGGAATCGAACCTGGGTCAGCCACATGCAAGGCGAATGCCCTGCCCGCTGTACTGTTGCTCCAGCCCCCAGTTTGATTTTTTTTAATTAGTACAACTACCTATATGAAAGAGTTTGATGATGAGGGGAGTTGAAGAGAGATAAGGTGCTTGCTTATCTAGCATTTAGCTGACTCTGATTGTATCTCTTGAGTACCTCCAGGAATGATCTCTTAGAACAAAGTCAGGACTGGGTGTACCCTGAAAAAAAAACCAAAAAGAGACGTAGATAATACTAAAAATAGGGAACTAGAGAGGTAGTAATGCCAGTAAGACACTTGATTTACAGTACTTGAAGTTCAGCACTACATAAAATCCCTCTAAATACCACCAGGAGTAATCCCTGAGCACAGTGTCAGAAGTAAACCCTAAACACCTCCAATCACTGTCACACTGTCCTCCCGTTGTTCGTTGATTTGCTCCAGCGGGCACCAGTAACATCTCACAACAAATTGTGAGACTTGTTGGTACTGTTTTTGGCATATCGAATACGTCACAGGTAGCTTGCCAGGCTTTGCCATGCGGGCGAGATACCCTCGGTAGCTTGCCGAGCTCTCTGAGAGGGGAGGAGGAATCGAACCCGGGTCGGCAGTGTGCAAGGCAAACACCCTACTTGCTGTGTTATACAGCGGGTAAACACTTCCAAACCAGAAAAAAAATCAAAAACAGAAACCAGTAAAAGGATTGATACAACATAGTGAATTAAGCAGAGCAAAGAAGCAAAAACATTTTATATTTTATAATTATGAGTGGTTGCACTTTTTAAGTCTTGCTCTGAATGTAAAATTTCAGGTTTTGTATCAGAATAATAGTTTTAAAAGTATTGATTGTACAATAGAGACCAGAGTGAAAGAAAAATTAGTAATCCTTTAACTCCTTGCTTTTGCTGTAGGGTTTTGTTTTTTTGTTTTTTTGTTTTTGTTTTTGTTTTTGTTTTTGTTTTTTTGGCTATTGGAATGGAGCACAGCGGTAGGGCATTTGCCTTGTGCGCAGCTGGGTTTGATTCCTCTGCCCCTCTCGGAGAGCTCGGCAAGCTACCGAGTGTATCTCGCCCACAGGGGAAAGCCCGGCAAGCTCCCCGTGACGTATTCGATATGCCAAACACAGTAACAAGTCTCACAATGGAGACATTACTGGGCCCACTAGAGCAAATTGATGAACAATGGAAGGACAGTGCTACCGTGCCTATTGGTGACATAAAAGGACCCCCGATAGTGCAGAAATTCTTTTCCTTCACAGTACTCTGAGAGAAAACAAGACAAAAATTCTTTCCACAGGCATGAAAGAGAATGTTGGCATCCTGCCTCGGACTTCGAATGTACTATTTGACACTCTTCGGGGAAGACTATATACGAAAATGAATCTTAAACCACATAGAGCCACAGAATATTTACAATTGTCACCAGATCAAGAGAAAGAAGAAGTTACTAGCAAAAGTGCATTGCTTCGGCAAATTAAAGAGGTTTGGAGTTGTCTTAGTATATAATATACACATTATAGCCTTTTTAACGTTCCATCATTTGTTTTAGCCTATAGTGGAATGTATGATGGTAATCGGGGCTATTGGGGGGCGGGCAGGTTTTGTTGTTTGGTTTGGTTTTTGGACTACACCCATTCATGCTCAGGGTTTACTTCTGGTTCTGCATTCAGGAATTGCTCCTGGTAGTGCTCAGAGGACCATATGGGATGCTGGGGATCAAACCCAGGTCAGCTATATAGAAGGCAAATGTCCTACCCACTGTACTATCGCTCTGGTGCCCTTAAAATTACTTCTTAATTGTAGAAGTAATTTGTATATAAAAAATATAGGGAATGTGTAAAATATAAAGTGAACATTTCTCTTCCTAAAGAACAAAGTTACCAGACTAGAAACTATTCATATTATACAGAAAGAACTTACAAAAAAGTTTTTGTATGTATTTTTGTGTTTTATTTTGGTTTTTTTTTTTTGGTTGGGGGGGCCATACCCAGTGATGCTTAAGGGTTACGCCTGATTCTGCACTTAGGAGTTACTCCTGGAGGTGTTCTGGGGACCATATAAAATGTTTGGAGTCAAACCCATGTTGGCTGTATACAAGGCAAGGGCTCTCTCTGCTCTACTGCCTCTCCGGCCCCCGTGTATCTAGTTTTGTAAAAGTCTTTAACAGAATATTTTCTATAGGGCCAAGGCGATAGATAGTACAGTGGGTTGGACACTTGCCTTGGGATTGATCGAGATTTTCTTTTTTTGTTTGTATTTTTGGGTGGTTTTTAGTTTTGTTTTGCTTTGTTTTCTGGCCCTTACCAACTGCAGTCAGGGCTTACTCCTGGGATCACTCAGAACCATATGGGGTGCCAATAATTGCATGCAAGGCAGGCACCTTACCCAATGCACTATCCCTGGACCCCTTTTCTAGGGGGTGGGGATCATAGCCATTGTTACTCAGAGGCTATTCTGGGCTCTGCTCAGAAGTGTTACTCAGGGGACCACACATAGTATCAAGAATTCAAACCAGTAATTTAATACTTTTTGCTGCAACAGTATGGAAGGCTAAGTGCCTAGTCCTGTCCTATCTCTCCAGCCCCCCCCCCTTTTTTTGAGGGGGGGAGGAGTAGGAGATGCTTTGGGCATATCTCCTGTACTGTCTCTCCAGCTTTCCCTTTATGAGGAGTTGGGAGTGACTTGGGCCACAGCCTGCAGTGCTCAAGGACTTTCCAAGGCTCTGTGTGCAAGAGTAACTCCTAGCAATACTCAGGAGACCCTTTTTGGTGCCCAGAATTAGAACCAATGTTGGCAGAACGCAAAGTACATTCTGTAACCCCTATATTGTTTCTCTGGCCTGAGAATGTATTTTTTTAATTGGCTGGAAAATTTAGTAGATCAACTATCTTAACATGGTTTTAAAGTTTTTTTAATCTTTTCTTTTCAGGCTGCTATGCATCATGACAGTTATGATGCTCTTCATGGTAAGGTGTCCTTTTTCACCAATCTTTAAAATGTGTATTGTCTGAAGAAATACATCAAAAGCTTTTAAATTTTAATCATTCCTATTGATTTAATTTCTTTAGTGACAGTACAAATCTAGAAAATGATACTTAGTATGAAATGTCAATCTAAAGTTTTATTTAGAGCATAAATAGCCCTTTACTAGTTCAAATATCTTAAATTCACAAGACAATTTTTTTTCTTTGTCCTTTGACTTTGGTTTCAGTTTGGTTCATTAGAATATTTCCAAAAGGAAAAGAAAGATAAGCCAAACTTTGGTTGACAAACAGATATCTGTTTCATCTGAAATCTATGAGCTGCTGTTAAATGATTAAGAATACTTAGTTTTCAAATCTAGGAGGCTTGTTCTATCCTGTTATCTTGTTTTTAATGAGTTGCTGAATTGTTGTGATTATCCTTTTTAAAATTTTTTGTAGGGAGTTCGACGAACTCTTTGAGTACTTTAGAGTTTGAAGAATTTATGAAAGATTGTGAACAGTCCTGCTTGAACATGGATGATAGCATAAAGTTTTCTATTTGGATTTCTTTCTTTGAGATTTACAATGAATGTATTTATGACTTGTTTGTTCCTGTATCTTCTAAGCTCCTAAAGAGAAATATGCTATGCCTTTCTCAGGATGTAAAGGGCTATTCTTTTATAAAAGGTATAGTAATGAGTACTTTTTATTTTATTTATTGATTCAAAGTTCCTTTCTAGATTTTGTTAAAGCTATAAGAAATCAAACCAAGGAATAGATCGATAGTACAGCGGGTAAGGAATTGGCCTTGCATGCAGCTAACCTGAGTTTGATCTCTGACATCCCCATATGGTCCCCCAAGCACTGCCAATAGTTATTCCTGAGTGCAGCGCATTAGTAACCCCGATCATAATGATCCCCCTCAAAAAAAAATCAAACCAGAAATTGAAATTATTTTATTCTTTTAAAATTCAAGATAAAAAGATTGTGTTTAGGAAGTATGTTAATTAAACCTGAATATAAAGGGCTCTACTTGAGTGTTGCCATAGCGTTGCCAAATATCCCTAATTGGATTCACAAGTGGGAAAAGCTGTGAGTTTTCATATTATTCTGCCCTATAACAGTGTCCAAATTTACAACTATCGAAATGCTATTCTCCCAACCTGCTCCAGCCCCTGAACAGGCCATTTTAAATGCTTAGATAGGGGACAAAATGATAGTATAGTAGGTTGCCTTGCATGCAGCCCACCTGGGTTCAATTCTAGGAGCCCCATGTGGTCCCAGCACCCACCGGGAGGACAGAGACCCACCTACTCCAGCACAGAGCCAGGAGTAGGCCCTCAGCATCTCTGGTATGGCCCAAAAACAAAAATAAAAATAAAGTGACTTGTTTTCAGAGCAGTGGTCGAGTGCATGTTTTGATAGTGAGGCCCTGGGTTTGGCTCTTAGAGAGAGGGAGAGAAGGAGAGGTGATAGAAAATCTTACTCACAGCGTATCAATACTGTCGTGACTTAGTACCTGCATATCTATATAAATATGCACACTAATACATGCATGTATATTTATGCCTCAGATTTTATTTACTATAAAGTATAACCTTTGTAGTAATATAATAATTTTGATTTGGGGGCAATACTGGGCAGTGCTCAAGGACTGCTCCCAGCCTGTAGTGCTTGAAGGACCAGGTGGTGCTAGAGCTTAAGCCCTGTGCTCTTTGTCACATCAGCTGTCTCTCCAGCCCCACCTTTTTTTTAACTTAATTTTACATAATACTGATTATGACTGAGTAAATTTTGTTTTATGACTACTTAATTTTAATCTGCATTGTCTCACCGCTATAGGCTTAAACTATACTGTATTTTTCTTTTATGTTCTGGATTCTACTTCTAAGGAAAAGATTTTCTGTTTGTCAGACTATATAAGAACTTTAACTTTGTCACCCATTGCTTCTTTTGCAAACCACAACACCCAATAAGAGAGAGAGAACAAAAGGAAATGCCCTGCCACAGAGGCAGGTTGGGATGAAGGGGATGGGGGGTAGGAGGGATACTGGGATCTGTGGTGGTGGGAAATGGACACTGGTGGAGGGATGGGTATTTGATCATTGTTTAATTGAAACCCAAGCACAAAAGTTTGTAAGTCTACAACTGTACCTCATGATGTCTCACTAATAAAAATTAAAAAAAAAACTTTAACTTGATGTCTGTGACATTATGTCTTCCTTTTCTATACCTTCTAATAAAATAGTGAAAAGCTGAGTTGATTCTACCTCTAGGGCATATATTTATATGACTTTATGTTATATGACAAATGCTGTGTGTTTTTTTGATCTGTACCTTCTTTATTTTATCAAGATCTACATTGGATTCTGGAGCGATAGCACAGCGGTAGGGCATTTGCCTTGCATGCAGCCAACATGGCCGACCCGAGTTCGATTCCTCCGCCCCTCTCGGAGATCCCGGCAAGCTACCGAGAGTATCTCGCCCGCCCGGCAGAGCCTGGCAAGCTCCCCGTGACGTATTCGATATGCCAGACACAGTAACAACAAAGTCTCCAATGGAGACGTTACTGGGCCCGCTCGAGCAAATCGATGATCAACGGGAGTGCCTTTACCTTTACCTTTACATTGGATTCAAGTGTGTGATTCCAAAGAAGCATACAAACTTTTAAAACTAGGAATAAAGAATCGGAATGTTGCCTTTACTAAACTGAACAGTGCTTCAAGTAGAAGGTAAAGAAGGCATCCTTTGGCATAAACCCAAAGGACCTAGACTATTCTATGCTAATTTAAATAAAACTAATTAAGATTAAAGTAAGTATGAGGTTATCTGCTGTTAAGTTTTTTCACAGACGTGCAGAATACTGTAACATGAAGTGCACTCTAAAAATAAAACTTATCAGGAACATTTATTCTTGGATTTACTAATTTGTCTCCCAGGTGCTTTTCTTTATGTTAATATCTAAGCTTATTCCTTTCAGAGTTGCAAGTATTGGTGATTTTTTTTTTTTTGCAGTTATCCCATGAACATAGCTTTTCTGCAACCTGGGTTTGCCCAGATCTTGAGGTTAAGGGAAGAGGGAAGGAGTTAGAATGTGAGACAAAGTTAAAACAAGTTTCAGCAATGAGATACTTCAAACAGATTTCTCTTAAGATGTAAATAATCCTGTCCTTCTTTTCTCAGTACATCGTGAGGATATATAATCCAGACAAGCATATATATAGGTCAAATGGCATAATTCTAAGAGAACTGTGTATAATAAATACCATTTAAACTAAGAGTATGATCTTTTTGCAAGCAAATTGAGATTTTATTGTTACTCAGTTTAAGGCATGTGGGCTAAGTGAAATGAAAGATTTCATTTTATACGGGTGGATGTATAGGTGACACTTAAGTACTGAAGTGAGCTCTCTGGCAGCTAGTTAGAAAATATACTACTGGAACCATGACTCGTATCAGGACATAAATAGATTTCTTATTTAGTTAATTGCCTCCTAGAATATTTTAATGCCAAAATTACGAATAAAAGATAACATTTGATCTTTCTTTTAGTCACAGCATATTTACTATACGAATATTGCAGATCAAAGATTCTGAGATGCCTCATGTAACACAAGTCAGTGAGTAAGTTGGTCATACTTTAAATTCTTATTATTTTGAGTTGTTCTGTTTGAAAAGCCTTTAAAGTTATTTTTGTTATTTTTTTCTTTCTTTTTGGTTCTCTCAGACTGTCATTGTGTGATCTTGCTGGTTCAGAAAGAAGCATGAAGACACAAAAGGAAGGTGAAAGGTTAAGAGAAACTGGGAACATCAACACTTCTTTATTGACTCTGGGAAAGTGTATTAATGTTTTGAAAAATAGTGAAAAGTCAAAGTAAGTGTTATAAGTGTTACTAGCATATTTAGTATTAAAATACTTAAGCTTTTAAAATGTTCTTTTTCCTTTGTGGAGGGCTCACATGGGGGGGGGGGGTCACACCTGGTAGTGCTGGAGACTACTTCCAGCATTGCCAGCTTCAAGCACTACTCGGAACCAAGTAGTAGATGGAAACTGGGGCCCGGACATGCAGAACATGCATTATCCCTTTGAGCTATCTCCCCGACCCAGAAAGTTTTTTCCTTAACCTGTTTTTTTTTTTTATGTAATGACAATGGCTTATGATTGCTTTTTTTTAATGATAGAAATAAAACACAAGAGCCAGAGAGATGTACAGCTAGTTGGGCACTTGCCTTTCACGCAGTCAATCTGGTTGATCCTCCACATCACGTATCCCCTAGCACCGATAGGGGTGATTCCTGAGCATAGAGCCAGGAGTAACCTGAGAATCAATGGGTATGGCCCAAAATCAAAAAAAAAAGGAGAAGAAGAAAGGAAACACAGTCTCAATGTTAGTGATTTGCCAAGTAAATAAAGGTTTTCATAGAAAATACATGTCAGTAGCTAATAAGCTTTTCATGATGCTGGTTTGTTCATTATAATTATGCTCTAGATGTGATTGATTTCTGCCTAGGCATTTTAGGTTGAGTAAATTATGAATTAGTCTTCATCACTAGTAGTTACGGTTTTTGGTTTTCGGACTACACTCAGCTGTGCTTGAGGATTACACCAGTCTTGTGCTCAGGGAACCATATAGTGCAAGTGATTTAATCTGTTCTGCCCACAAGGCATGAGCTCTAGGCCCCTGAGCCACCTCTCTGGCCCGTTCCTAAGTGTTTAATGATATGTATTATATATATATAAAATTGCTCTACATTGCTGAACACAACCCAGTTTGGTATTTTTTTTTAACATTCTGCCTAGTGGGTTAATTGTGGTGGTAGTTTTTTAAAAATATAAGTAAGCAAAAAATTATTATTACACGAGTAACTAATTTCTAGTCTAGAATTAAAATCTATAATAGATTAATTACTTCCCTGTAAAATTTATTAGAATCTTGACTTCGCTAGAGTATGTTTTGGTGTGTGTGTGTGTGTGTGTGTGTGTGTGTGTGTGTGTGTGAGACCCCTGGCAATGCACAGGGGTTACTCCTGGCTCTACGGTCAGGAATTACTCCTGGTGGTGTTTTAGGGGACCATATGGGATGCCGGGGGTTGAACCCAGGTCGGCTGCATGCAAGGCAAACGCCCTACCTGCTGTATCATCACTCTGGCCCCTCACTTGATTTGTTTTAACTTAAAGTTCTTGTGAAACTTTTTTTCATAGGTTTCAACACGTGCCTTTTAGGGAAAGTAAACTGACTCACTATTTTCAAAGCTTTTTTAATGGTAAAGGGAAAATATCTATGATTGTCAACATCAGTCAGTGCTGTTTTGCCTATGATGAAACACTCAATGTGTTGAAGTTCTCAGCCATTTCACAAAAGGTAAATATATTCAAGTTTCCATAGAACTTAATAGAATATCATTGTGTTTTTCTTTGTGTAGGTAAAAAAAAAGAAATTGTTCTTTTAATTGTAAACCTAGGAAATTATTGAAATTTTTTTTGTTGTTGTTTGTTTTGCTTTTTGGGTCACACCCAGCAATGCTCAGGGGTCATTCCTGGCTTTGCACTCAGGAATTACTCCTGACGGTGCTTGGGGGACCAAATGGGATGCTGGGAATCGAACCCGGGACAGATGCGTGCAAGGCAAATGCAATATCTGCAGGGGACCATTGATGGATATTCTTACACTAATTTTCAACTTAGCCATCTCTCTGGTTCATTTAGTAATAAATTAGGAGGTCCTGTTAGGATGAGAACTTAACTGAAGAAAGTACATGTTTCTGAGCATAACTTTGCGTGTGTAGTTCACTTTTTTTTTAGTTGCCCTTCTCAAGGATTGATCCTTATGTGTTCTGTGGGGTTTTTTTTAAGGCAATCAACTTGTCATTTTACTTAAAATTTTTAATTATTAGAGGACAATTCTTTCCATTTATTAAAAATCACCTTTGAATTTTTGACAGGTTTGTGTTCCAGAGTCTTTATTTTTTTTTTTTTATTTATTGAATCACTGTGGGAAAGGTTACAAAGCTTTCAGGTTTATGTCTCAGTCATGCAAATATCAAACACATTTCCCTTTACCAATACTTATTTTTTACCATGAAGAACCCCAATAAAACCCCACCCCCCACCCCTCCCCGTCCCTGTGAGGCAGATGAATTCTAGTTAACACTCTATCTGCTTTGATTAGATTCATTGTTTCAATAAAAGATTCACCACTATTATTTAGAGTTTACCCCCCCCCCCAAATCAGACATGCTGAAAAAGCATTGTGAAGTGATTTGCTTTCTACAGCTGGGTTCAAGAATTAAATGTTGGTTTTGGATTTCTGCTATTTTACCTATTGACCCTGGAAGTATTTCTACTGAAAGTCAGATAGTTAAGAAATTGGTTTCTGTGTTCTGGACTCGTGGCCGTGCTGGAGAGCCGCTCGCGGGGGGCAACCGGTGGCCTCGGTAGGGCGTGAAGGGCGGAGCGAAACGCCCCCCTTCCCATGAGGTTTTAGTCACCCCCACACTCCCGGCTCATACCTGCTGTCCACAAGGCTCCCATGTGGCTGCCATCTTTCTTTCCAGAGAGGAGAGGGCGAATGGGGCAACACCCTTTCCCTTCCAGCAGACTTGATGGGCTGGATCAACGCATAGTCCGTTCACTTTTCTGCTCCAAGCTGCTGGGTTCTGCATTAAGTCCTTGTGCTTCTGGGGCCATGGCCGTGCTGGAGAGCCGCTCGCGGGGGGTGACTGGTGACCTCGGTAGGGCGTGAAGGACGGACCGGAACGCCCCCCGACCCATGAGGTTTTAGTCGCCCCCACTCCCCCGGCTCATACCTGCTGTCCACAAGGCTCCCATGTGGCCGCCATCTTTCTTTCCAGAGGGAGGAGGGCAGAAGGGAGCAACACCCTTTCCCCTCTGGGCAGAAATGATTGACTGGATTAACGCATAGTCCTTTCACTTTTCTGCTCCAAGCTGCTGGGTTCTGCATTAAGCCCTTGTGCTTCTGGGGCTGTGGCCGTGCTGGAGAGCCGCTCGTGGGGGGCAACTGGTGACCTCGGTAGGGCGTGAAGGACGGACCGGAACGCCCCCCTTCCCATGAGGTTTTAGTCGCCCCCACACTCCCGGCTCATACCTGCTGTCCACAAGGCTCCCATGTGGCCGCCATCTTTCTTTCCAGAGAGGAGGGCGAATGGGGCAACACCCTTTCCCCTCCGGCAGACTTGATGGCCTGGATCAATGCATAGTCCATTCACTTTTCTGCTCCAAGCTACTGGGTTCTGCATTAAGTCCTTGTGCTTCTGGGGCCGTGGCTGTGCTGGGGAGCCGCTCGTGGGGGGCAACCGGTCACCTCGGTAGGGCGTGAAGGACGGACCGGAACGCCCCCCTTCCCATGAGGTTTTAGTCGCCCCCACACTCCCGGCTCATACCTGCTGTCCACAAGGCTCCCATGTGGCCGCCATCTTTCTTTCCAGAGGGAGGAGGGCAGAAGGGAGCAACACCCTTTCCCCTCTGGGCAGAAATGATTGCCTGGATTATCGCATAGTCCTTTCACTTTTCTGCTCCAAGCTGCTGGGTTCTGCATTAAGCTCTTGTGCTTCTGGGGCTGTGGCCGTGCTGGAGAGCCGCTCGTGTGGGGCAACTGGTGACCTCGGTAGGGCGTGAAGGACGGACCAGAACGCCCCCCTTCCCATGAGGTTTTAGTCGCCCCCACACCCCTGGCTCATACCTGCTGTCCACAAGGCTCCCATGCGGCCGCCATCTTTCTTTCCAGAGAGGAGAGGGCGAATGGGGCAACACCCTTTCCCCTCCGGCAGACTTGATGGCCTGGATCAATGCATAGTCCGTTCACTTTTCTGCTCTTAGCTGCTGGGTTCTGCATTAAGTCCTTGTGCTTCTGGGGCCGTGGCTGTGCTGGAGAGCCGCTCGTGGGGGGTGACTGGTGATCTCGGTAGGGCATGAAGGACGGACCGGAACGACCCCCTTCCCATGAGGTTTTAGTCGCCCCCACACCCCCGGCTCATACCTGCTGTCCACAAGGCTCCCATGTGGCCGCCATCTTTCTTTCCAGAGGGAGGAGGGCGGAAGGGAGCAACACCCTTTCCCCTCTGGGCAGAAATGATTGCCTGGATCAACGCATAGTCCTTTCACTTTTCTGCTCCAAGCTGCTGGGTTCTGCATTAAGCCCTTGTGCTTCTGGGGCTGTGGCCGTGCTGGAGAGCCGCTCGTGGGGGGCAACTGGTGACCTCGGTAGGGCGTGAAGGACGGACCGGAACGCCCCCCTTCCCATGAGGTTTTAGTCGCCCCCACACCCCTGACTCATACCTGCTGTCCACAAGGCTCCCATGCGGCCGCCATCCTTCTTTCCAGAGAAGAGAGGGCGAATGGGGCAACACCCTTTCCCCTCTGGGCAGAAATGATGGCCTGGGTTAACTCATCGTCCGTTCGCTTTTCTGCTCTAAGCTGCTGGGTTCTGCATTAAGTCCTTGTGTTTCTGGGGCAGTGGCCGTGCTCCAAACTTAACTCTGACTTTCAGGGAGAAAGATTGGGTGGTTTACTTCTCATTGATCACTTTGTATACAGAGAGGTGTCGCGCGGCCGCATAAGCGGCCGCACGGTTTTGAGAAAAAGTCCTCGTTCCCGCATACTCGAGCTGTGTTTGCAGAGGCTTCTGGTCACCGGGGTTCCATCTGGGGGAGGCGGGATGTGGCACCTACTCCATCTGGAACTTGCGGGTGATCTCGGCTCTTTTTGGAACCTGTTTTTTCTTTTTTTTTTTCTTCCGGGATCCCGCACCCTCCATGTGTTCCTTCTCTTATGCTGAACGCTTCAAAGATGGCGCTGGGGGGGCGGGCTGTGGGCGTGACTTCCGGAATCAGAGGTTACCTGGGAGGTGTAGTCCGGCAGATTTGAGAAAAAGTCCTTGTTCCCCTATACTCGAGCTGTGTTTGTAGAGGCTTCTGGTCACCGGGGTTCCATCTGGGGGAGGCGGGATGCGGCACCTACTCCATCTGGAACTTGCGGGTGATCTCGGCTCTTTTTGGAACCTGTTTTTTCTTTTCTTTTTCCCTCCGGGATCCCGCACCCTCCATGTGTTCCTTCTCTTATCGTTCCAGAGTCTTTAAATTCCTCTCAAGAGAAATCTTTTGGATCTATCAGATCTTCTCAAGATGTATCACTAGACATTAATAATTCAGAAAATAAAGTATTAAATATAAAAAGATCCACTATTGCATGGGATCTCCTAGGTTACTTTCCCATGCAATAGTGGATCTTTTTACATTTAATACTTGGAAGATGAAGATTTGGTTGAAGATCTAGAAAAAAATGAAGAAAAGCCAAGTATGGAAACTGAACTAACTGATGACGATCTAGATAAAACAGTAGAGGAAGCCAATATAAAAATAAAAGTACTTGTTGCCAGGGCTGTACAGAGAGTACAGTGGGAAGGGCATTTGCTTTGTATGTGGCCAGGCTGGATTTGATCTCTGGCATCCCATAGGGCCTCCAGTGCCTGCCAGGATTGATTGCTCAGAACAGAGCCAGGAGTAAGCCCTGAGCAGGGTGTACCCCAAGAGGGAAAAAAACCTACCGCAAAAGTTCTATTTGTTGCGTTTATTAATTTTTATAATGAATATTTTTTTCATAATAAAAATATTTAATCTCTTATAAATCTTACTTTCTAGGTATCTGTAATGCGTGATGAAGAGAAATTAATGAGGGTTAAAATTAATGAACTGGAGAAAAAGAAAAACCAGGGTTCCCAGGAAATAGATATGAAACAGCAAATCATTCAGCAACTTACGGTAAATTTTGCTTTTAAGAATGGCTTGAAAAGATTCTGTTGGCTTGCTCTTCAAGCCCGTGTTCTCCCTGAAACACATCTCTGCCTCTTTGCTTCCTTGTTTCCCATCTGGGGAAGCTGTATTCTAAAAACACACCGCTTTTCCTCCCCTCACATCTTTCTAAATAAGTTTCAATAAAAACTGTCTTGTGGGCTGCAAAAGTAGTATAGCATTAGGGCACTTGGCTTGAATGCGGCCCAACCTGGTTTGATCACTGGCAATCCCCTATGTGGTATCAGGATGGTGTGGACCTCCTGCATGCAAAGCATATGCTCAGCCCTGAGTTGTCTCCTATCCATAAAGTATAACGGGTTTCTTCCCATTACACTTCCCATTCTCCCTTTTTACCAAAGTGAAAGTCCCATTGTTAAGTATTTCTGTGTGTTTTAAGTTATATTTTAATTTAATTCATGTTGCTTCATTTTTCAGGAGCAGTTAAATAACCAAAAAGCAGAAGAAGCTATTCAACAGTACAAGAAAGTATGCAGAGGTCAGAAACAAATCCCTGATTCCAATAATAAAATGCATTTATCCTTTCTCCTTCAAGCCCATATTCTCCCTTAAATATGTACACATCTTGCTTGCTTGTGTCAGTGCGTCTTAGTTTTTTTTTTTCCCCCACTCTGGAGAAGAAATATTTCTCCTTTGTTCTAAGTAAGTTTTGTTCAGTAAAAATCACCTTGTAGGGCCAGAGGGATAGCACAGTGAAGGGTACATTTGCCTTGTACACAGCCAACCTGGGTTTGATCCCATATGGTCCCATTATCGATCCCCTGAGCATTGCTGGTGTGACCCAAAAAGCCAAAAAAATAAAAACTATCTTGCTTCACTAAAAATATATATTTATTCCCAAATTTTCTTCTTTTAAGAAGCCAGAGAGAGAGAGTATAGGGGTTAAGGCACTTGCATAGCATTCGGCCAATCCTGGTCCAATCCCCAGCACCACAATGATCCCCTGAACACTCCCAGGTGAGCTCCTGTGCGCATAGCCAGTAATAGCCCTGGGCACCACTGAGCCATGGCCCCTACCCCTTCTTAAAAGGACATTGCCTGTTGCATTATGGTCCTCCCTAATCCGTTATAGTTTTGTTTTGTTTTTAAAGGAAAAAAAAACAAACTTGGGAGCCATTCGTGGCTGTGCTCAGGACTTACACCTGACTGTGCTCAGGAATTCCTCCTGGAGGGACTTCCGGGACTATATGAGGTACCTGGGACCAAATCAGAATTAGCCACATGCGAAGCAAGCACATTAACCCCTGTTCTGTCTTTCCTGTCCTGTACTGTCTTAAATGTAACTGGTATACAGATAGGAAATAAGTGCAAACTATCACGAAGTATTTCTCATCCATTGTTTTGCCTGACGTTTATGTGTCATTTTTGTCTCTAGTGTGTGATGTTCTTTCCACTTACCACTTATTCTCATATGTTCTCTCAAGAACATTTATTCTCTAAACCTTTCCTCCTTGAAAGTATTCCAGAACATTATTGTTCTAAGTGATTCTCTTTCTGATGGTAAATAATTGATTGTCCATTTGACAGTCATTTATTCTACTGTGATAACACATAGGGATAGCTATCTCTTTTTCTTTTTCACTTTTGTTTTTGTTTTTGTTTTTGGGCCACACCCTGGTGTGCTCCTGACTCACTCCTGGTGATACTAGAAGACTATCTTCCATGCTGGAGATCAAATCATTGTCAGCTTCTTACAAGGCAAAGCACCTTACCTTCTATACTATGTCTCCAGCCCAAGATATCTACCTCTTAAATGTATTGAAGTTGTTTGATTTGTTGCATATTTCTGAATTGTTTTGTGATATGTTATTTGGAGGCAATAACATTATCTTTTTTTTTCCCTTTACTGACCCTACATTTAAAATTATAGGTGGGGCTGGAGCTATAGCACAGCAGGCAGGGCGTTTGTCATGCACCACCGACTCGGGTTTGATTCCCAGCATCCCATATGGTCCCCTGAGCACTGCCAGGAGTAATTCCTGAGTGCAGAGCCAGGAGTAACCCCTGAGCATCGCCGGGCGTGACCCAAAAAGCTAAATAAATAAATAAATAAAATTTTAGGTGATGGTCATTAGTTAGTATTGCCACTTTATTAATTTGAAGTGAAATATAAAGTCTGTGCTTCTAATTGAGTGTGAAATGTAAAGATAAAGAAAGGGTTCGGGGGCCAGAGTGGGGAGGGCATTTGTTTTGCATGCAGCTGACTCCGGTTCAATTCTCAGCATTCTATATGTTCCCCAAACTTCGCAAGTAGTGATTTCTGATCACAGAGTCAGGAGTAAATCCCAATTTTGGCGTGTGGCCCCAGTACCAAAAAATAATTTAAAAAATAAAGGAGTGTCTTTGAATAAATTTATGATTAGTAACATAGTATGAATCTGTTTGTAAATCATGCTTATGAAGGAAATGAATTACAAAAAATTAAGACTTCTTTAATAATCCTTAAAGGAATTCTGTTTTATTAGCACTCCTGGCAGTCTGGTGTCAATGAAATGAGGCACAGCAAATCATGTATACGATTTGTTGTAATTCTTTTGTTTTAACTTCTTTATGTGCCCTTAATTAAGGAAATCATATTTGAAGATTTGTGTCATTTTTAATGTCACTTTTTTTTCAGGGGGTAGGAGTTCAGCTACACTGGTGATGCTTAGGGATTACTCCTGGCTTTACACTCAGGAATTATTCCTGATAGAGCTGAAGAAACTAAATGGGGTACCGGGTATTGAACCTGGGTCAACCTGGAAAGCACCCTATCCACTCTGGCACCCAGAAACAACTTTTTTTTTTGACTGTTTGGGTCACAGTCAGTGATGCACAGGGGTTACACCTGGCTCTGCACTTAAGGATTACTACAGGCGGTGCTCAGGGAACCATAGGGGATGCTGAGAATCAAACCCAGGTCAGCGCGTGCAGGCAAACACCCTACCCTCTAGTACGACGGTAGTACAGATAGTACCCTACCTGTACTATCACTCCTGTCCCCAGAAACAACTTTAGTAAGACTTGTGGTACTGTCATTCTAGAAGAGCAGAAGTAGCAACTATAAAAGTAATAAGTATTCAGCAATGACAATTTTCAAGAAGAAATAATTACATGTCAGGGAAATGGCTAAAGGGGCTTGCCCCAGTTCAGTCTGGCAACACATGGTTCCCCATGCATAGAGCCAGAAATAGCACCACCAGGTCTGGCAAAAAATACCAAAAATTGAACAAATTTAAAGGAAAAATATTCCTGTGATTTTTTTTTAAGATTGGGGCTAAAAGTGTTTTTAGGAGGAAAAAGTCTTAGTTTTTTAATGTTAGTATTAAAAATAATAGCTTTGTCAAAATAATCCTGTCAAAAGTAACAGTTTTTCTAAGTTTCATGATTTATGCTCAGTTTTTTTTGTTTAAAAATTTGTTTTCCTTTTTATTTTTGCCATCATTCTTGTATCTATCTGTACAGCTGATATTTATTTGATCTATTGTTTTCGGCATTTGTCAGTATTGAAGATTCAGTAACGAACAACTCAAAGTTTCTACCTATATAGAATTCACATTTTTTATACTTAATCAAATTACATTTTAACTTTAGAACTCAAAAAGTCAATTATCTGGATGGTATGTATTAGTGCTGTTTCTAAAAAATATTCTCCCCTAATTTTTTTGAACCTAGGTCAGCCACATGCAAGGCAAGCACCCTACTTGCTGTAGTATCACTTTTGCCCCTAAAATAGTTTTATCTAAGTAAAATTGTATACTAAAAAAAAGATGAGGACACAGACACAATAAGTGTCAAAAGCTCAGTAAGCTTCAAAATGAGTTATAGGTATGATTTTTTTTATCTGTATTTGACTATTAGAGGAAAATTCAGTGAATGTTTTATTATTAACTTAAATGTGGGTGATTTAAGAGCTAGAAATTGTTAATATATAGTTACAAATATTTAATATATATTGAAATAATATGAAGAGAAAATTTTTTTAATTTATTTATTTTTCACTGGCTTAAATATCACAGGGCCAACCAAACATCTCTCATTAGGGCTCTCTATACATCTTGGGTTAATTTCTCAGGGAGGTTTCCCCGAAGTGGGTTCCTCAATCAAGATTTGGACTTTTTTTTTTAAGTTTGGCTTTTTTAAAATTCAATTTAATTAATTTATGTACTTGCTTTTGGGGGGGTCCCACCCGGCAATGCACAGGTGATTACTCTTGACTCTGCACTCAGGAATTACTCCTGGCGGTGCTCAGGGGACCATTGGGATGCTGGGAATCGAACCCGAGTTGGCCGCATGCAAGGCAAACGCCCTGCCTGCTGTGCTATCGCTCCAGCCCCTGGAGAGGAAATTTTCAAGATACAATGTTAAGTTGCAGTGTTTCTGTCAATAAGAATTATTTTTCAACTAAGTCTCACCTCTGTCCCATTCTTTATATCATCTTAAATGTTTAGATCAATCAATAGTATGATCATATCACTCAATGCATCACTTTTTTTTTGAGAATTACAGGCTGTTTTTTATAATATTGGCATGTATATTAGGAGCTGGAGCAATGTGTCTATAGTGTGTAGGGC